TCTTTCCCTCGCTTTTAATGACCTTGAAAGTAATTTTGAAACTTCAGGCAGAGGTTAGCTTTTTTTTTTAGAGCAGCAGCGCAGGTGAGTACAGGAAGGGGAAGAGGGAACAGGGAAGAGCAGTTCTGATCCAGTTAGCGGTAACGGGGTATGTGTGTCTTTAACCTGTTAAATGAGGTGTCTTGGTACCTTCAGTCATCAGGCTGGAGAGCTGGATCTCCACCTCGGTCTGCAAATCTCTTCTCACTTGCATAAAGCTGAGGTGAGGAGAAATCCAGCTGCTGTGCTGTTTATCGCAGACCTGCACTTCCTACGTGAAGCATTCGGAGCTGTAATTCTCATTAGCGGCGGGCTCTGGGGAGAAAGGGAGAAATATCTAAAATAGATGATAGAGTACACAGGCATGTGCTGTTTTCTTAAGTGTATCAAGAAAGAAAATGAGCAATCAGCAAGGATACTAGACAGTGTGGGTTTTTTTCAGTAATTATGTGGAAACGTTCATCTCCAATCACAATTTAATGAGCTAAACAAGCTGCCCAGCCACTTTTGTAGCTGAATCTTGCCTTCGCTACAAAAGTCGTTAATTTAAGTCTTTAGGAGAAGGAAAAGTGTCTCTTTCTTTTTTCCTTTTTAATCACCGATTCTTCTCGTGTCAGTTTTAACTTATGCACTTCTTCTGGGATGTGACAAAATGAAAAAATATTGGCCATGGAATAGATTTCCTTGGGAGAATGTTAATGCTAAACTTTTTCTCCCTAGCTACCTTTTATAATAGTTACCCTAATTGAGGGCCAGGGCATTTCCTGGGGATTAATGACTGGCTGGGAGAGTCAATGGCTTGAGGCAATGCCTTGGGCCATTAACCCCGGCCAGTCATTAATTTCCCCAGGAAATGCCCTGGCCCTCAATTGTTACTGCTTAATTATAAAAAAAGACTTTCCAAGCCTTTTTACTGAATACATCTCATCAAGTAATGTGACACTAAATTCCACTGTTGACAAATATTACTGATTCCTTGAAAACATGAAGGTCGTAAGTTTGTGGTTTATTGGTCGTCTTTGTAATTATTCTTCCAGGGAACAGATTCTGCTGCCCTCGTAGACTTGTGCGATACTCTGGTGAATAAATGGTGGCGTGATGAGTGGGTTTCTTAGCATGGACATATGCTCTTTTTTTTATAGCATTAGTTGCATCAAGCAAGGTATGGGAAGGTTAAACGAAGGCACTAAATGGGGTGTCTTAAATTTGCACTGACTACAAACTTTAAGTGTAAGAATCTCAGCAAGGATGTTAATTTTATGCTTTTCTGTCGTGGTTGCTCCCATCTTTTGTTTTAGCCCCTAAATATCTTTCAGTGCTGGGTCTGTAGGAGCCTCCTCCAGAGCTAGGGAAAGGTACATTAAATGTTCATCTTGACCCAAGTATTGCTTTAGGTTGCAGCCTTGAGAGCAGCATTTATAGAGTGTATTTTAAGCATACAGCACTGTGCCATCATGGCACAACTTCAGTCCTTATTTGCTCTGAAGTGTAGCAATTTTCCTGCCACTGACAGCAGTACTTCAGTTCAAGTTGATGACAGAGGGATGTAATTTGGCTGTTGTTCATCTCATGTGTTACTGAAAGATGAACAATAGCTAAAGTTTAAGCTTTTGATGCTACAATGTGGTGGTAGCTGTTGAGATTTATAGATCTAGTACACACTGAACTTACTATAGTAGTAATGCCCAAAAATAGGTCTAAGAAAATAGATTGGCTTCTGCCATGGGTGAAGAGAGTTGCGTGTCACTTGAAAATGCTTCTGTTATGTCGGTTTGCAAGCAGCCCAGAGAAACTCGGCTGAGTTAGAGAAGAGTTTCATCAGCTATTAAGATATCTACCAAACAGTCATTAAAACATGACCCACGTGCATTTGTCTTGGCTGTTCCAGGGAATCCTTAACCATTTTTCCTCCTGTTTTAAATCCAGAGCTGGGTTTTTGTTTTCTTTTGATCTGGCATGTGTCTTTTTGTTGCCTTACACTCCCTTTGAAGGGCTTACTTTGACCAGAACCAGAAATCTGGTTCTGACTGCAGGTTTCGCAGAAGAACGCAAAACGGTAGCACGTGACAAATATAAGTAGGCAACAGGCACAACTGGGAGCAAATCAAAGTAACTGATGAGTTAGTCTAGCTCTTTGGGTTTTTTTTGGAGGTGGAGAAGAATCTTTCTGCTTGATCTTTGGTTTGGGAACATCCTACATTTCCATAAAGTGGCCACAAAAAGGCTTCTGTTCTGTACAAATGTTTGTAGTACTCTGACTAGAATCATTGCTAGGTGCTTTCCGAGTATACAGGGTAGGAGAGCTCGTCAGACAGCTCCAGGGAAGGATGCTTAGGATGGTGGTGTTAGGATGCTAGGCTTTATTTCTGTACAGATAATAGATGGGGCAATATCCCTATCTTAAAGGCTTAAAGTACAGCAGCTATTAAGACTGATGACTGCTAAATACCTTGTTAGTTCTCGTGGCAGTACTTCTGTTGATCTGGTTTCAGAGGTTAGTACCGGCTGCCCTACTGCCTAGTTAGTGCCATTCTCGTTTATTAATGGATTACCCCAGGTTGCAAGAAAATCTAGGATTTGCTTGGTGTCTTCTTAAAAAGAAACACTGAGGTTAAAATCTTAAAAGTGTGAGGATTAAAGGAACTGTAAAAACTGTGCCTACCTCAGAGGCTACTGTTTCTTGGTGGTTGGTTGTGGGTTTTTTTAATGGGGAAGATCTTAATTTCCTACTAAGTTACAGATGTGGAAAGTGATTAACCGTAGAAGGGACCTATTATACCTGATAGTCATCAAAATTGCTCTGAAATCCTCAGGAGGCAGGGGGTAGGGTAGCAGGGGTGTCAAATATGGTCCCCAAAGACAGCTTTCTTATCAATTTCCATAGTGAAACACATCAATCCTGGCTATTGCTCTCTTCAGTGGAAGTCGGGGTTGTTTGTAACTGAATGCTTCTAAGGGTCGTTGCACAGAGATGGTTTTTTTTGAAGAGAGTAGGATATCCCAGGTTATGTTCCTTATAACTAACGTGTGGTTTGGTAGGCGTGTGAATGTTTCCCAAGATGAGTGCAAGAAAAGCAGAATAGAGATTAGGCTTAGTGATCTCATATACAGCTTTGGGGGCTGTATATGCACTCAAAGAAATGAAGGTTTTTCTTTCCGAGACTGAAGTTGGTCCATTTTGGAACGGCTATTGGGGAGGGAGTTGATTTAAGGTGACTCAGGAGCGTATTTCACGGAAGGTCTGAGAATGGTGTTTCGATACACGCATTTAGAATTGTGGTTGTGGAGTTTGAAGTCCAATACTGTCTTTGTAGGTCCTCTTAGTTGCATTGGCACGATATATTGGAGGTGTTAAATTTTGTAACTATTTCAGATGGTGATTTCTTCCACTGTCACTTTAATTTTGAAAATGTTTTTACTTTTTAGAAATTAGACTCCTTTTATTTAGTTGCATCATGTGAGCTAGTCGGAGAACTTGCTTGGTCTAGCCTTCAGTGATGGTAAGAATGCAAGAGGTGATCTATTTTGTGTAACTCAAATGAAGATGACCTTTTTAGTACAATCAGGAGGAAAAAACAGCATCGTTGAAGCGCTGCTGTATTTTGACACTTTTTTTAATTCTATAGAATCTGAAATGACTATGTTGGTACTCTTCCTCTGTGCACATCAAAGATAAAATGCACAAACTTAAAGGCAGCAGAGAGCTTTTTTTTTTAAACAAAAAGTGTTCTGTGATTATCCTGTAGAAGATTTCCCATTGCTCGCTGCTCTCCTTCTAGAGAGCAAGAGATCAGAAACTGTTCAGTCTAATTGGTGAGTCTGTATGACAGTGAGCTGCCTTATTTCATGTATGGTGTAGAAATAAATGAGTGCTTAAACCCTTTGAAACACACCACTACTGCAAAAGCCATAGGCTGTAATTAAATTGAATGTGGGGTTGTATTGTCTTGTGCCCTTGGCTATAAACTTGATAACAGACCATGGTACACCCGCTATTGTGTTAGAAGCTGGAACCTAATTAGCGATGTTGTAGATTTTCAGTCACTTTCGAAGCCCTTCTGTTCATCTTTTTCCCCATGTCCTTTCTTTCTTATTATTTCGCTTTTCTGTTTCTGAAGCAATAAATGCACCTTTCTTTTCAAAGGAAATCGTTAAGGGCATTTAGCCAAATATGTACGTGCAAGATAATTTTTTATCATATTTTGGATTCAAGGGACAAGTGTTGGTAACTGCATTTTATCTGATGTAGAAGAGATTTATTAGTGTTGTGATAGTAAAAATATATAATCATGTTTCCAGAGAATGCTCTTCCAGGCATTTGAGGGGGGAGTAAGGAAGAGATTGGAAATTCTCATAATACCTTGATTTAAAAGTAACATGGGAAGACGTACAACTGAATTCTGTTCTGGTTGTTTTTTGGGGGATTATCCACAAGGAAAAATGGCTTTTCCGGGCTTTTAGAAATTCACGTGCTTTTGCACTCAGCCAGTTTTAGTTAGTTGATCTGAAAACCTTCAAACTTGCTAAGGACTTAATCCCTAATGAGAACAAGTGCCTTTGATGTGTTCTTAATGCTATTTTTAGTTTGGGAAATAAAAAAAGTTGTAGTGCACAGATGCAGTATATACATTTCCAGTAA